TGGACAGTTTATTTCTAATACCCTCTTCTGTGAACACAATGTGGGTCAGTGCTGTGTCGAACTGTCTGTCCTCAAACGCAGGAAGGTTAGTTGCATCCTCTCTTGTGAACACTGAGGAAAAGAAGCTGTTCAATGCCTCAGCTTTATCCTGGTCAGAATCTGCGTAACTACCATCTTCAAGCCTCAGGTCTGATACTCCTCCTCGCGTTTTCAATTTCGACTTTGCATATCGGTAAAACGCCTTTGGGTTTGACTTGACCTCGCGTGCAACCAGCCCTGGAACTCCTTTTCAGCCCTTCTACACTCTATCTTTGCTTGGTTTCTGGCTCTTGCATACATCCTCCTGTCTTGCTCATCGTTTGACCCAACCCACGTCTTGAATTTCTGGGTTTTCTTTTTAATTTTGTCGACCCCCGCATGGTTCATGTGTAGGAATCCCCTCGTATTCTTAGAAGCACTGGGTTTGGTCTTGGGTATATATTTATCGATCAAATGGGTCACTTTACTCGTTATGATATTCAGCGTAGTGTCTGCGTTCTTGTACCTTAATAAGTCAAGCCAGTTGATACGCCTCATCTCTTCCCTCATCCCATTGTAATTTCCCTTGTAATATTTGCACCTTGGCCTGGCCTTATCTTGAACTAGGTAACAGTTAAATCTGAATGACAACACTGTATGGTGACTGGTGCCAACTGGGGCAAGGTGTTCCAGTTTGGCCACCATACCCTCCTCGTTTGTTATGATGAGGTCAAGTGGCTTGGGTGTTTGCTCCCCTCTGTAATGTGTCGGGTCTCTCACATGTTGGAACAGAAAATTATCTCTCAGAGTTTCTACAAAAAGAGTAGCAGGGTTATTCAAGTCATTCGGGGTGGACTCGTTTCTCCAGTCGATGTCGCCATAGTTAAAGTCCCCCATGATAAGGAGGTGGCTAGGGTTGAGCATCGCCGCATTGTTTATTAAGGTTCTTAAGTTCCTTTGATTTAGTGGGCCACAGTTTGGGGATCTGTAGATACACCCGACGATAAGTAAGTCCCCTCCCTTTAATTTAATTTTACACCACTTGGACTCTTCAAAAACATCCTCTCCCTGTACCCTCGCCTGGCTGGCTCTAAGGTCTTGCCTAGCGTAGATAACCACACCCCTCCTGCAGGATTCTTGAGTTAGGTTCGTAAATGAGTCATATCCAGCAATACTGAACTCACATTCCTCTGGGTCGATTCTCCTGTTCTTGTACAACAGTTCTACAACTCCTACAATATCTGGTTGGTGTACTCTTAGTAGTGTTTCAAACTCCTCTCTCTTATCAAGGAACGTGTCAGTATTAGTGTACATGACATTCAAGCCAGAATTTGTTCTCGGTAACGTCTCTGCTCTTAGTAATAAACCCGCTCCACCCACATTCTCAGAAGCTGCAGCATTTGCTAAGTACACTGTATTTTGCAGGGTGTGGTTAAAAATTTCATTGTTTACACGGCGCTCGTTCCCTCCTGTCCGGTAGGCTGAGCTGGTGCCGCCTCCCGGGTGGGGGGTTGAGTGGGTGGAGGGTGCACTGCTGCCCCCTGGCCCTGTGTCGGCACACTTGTTTCCACTACCCTCCCCCTGAGTATAACCCATGTGCACCTGTCCCCGTTCCTCCTCGACTTCTCCCTCTTCTGCTTCAAGTCCTGCAGCAGCTTCTTGTGCTGTTCCCTTTGCATTACCGTGCGGTCTGGGTGAATAAATACATCCCGAAATTCCTCGCTCCTTGCTAAGTTTTTTGCCTGCCGAATAACTTGCCATTTTTCCTCCTCACTCCCTAGTGTGATCCTGAGGGGGCGAGGCTTAGCCCCCTGCTTTTGTCCCAGTTTCCTCACATCCTGAGGGGTTGCTGGAATCTTCAGAACCTCTGTGCAAATATTTTGAAACAGCACCTTGTCGTGTGTTTCCTTACTCACAGTTCCCTCTGCCTGGCTCTCGGTGACTCCAAAAACTATTACATTGTTCCTGAGCTGGAGCCGTTCCTGGTGTTGCTCCTCTCCCCTAACAGTAGGTGCGTTAATTTTCATTTCTTCGACACACTTTTTCAGAGTCCCAATCTGCTGTAGAACCTGTACTGATTCTGCATTACTCTCCGCCCCCCTCCGTGGCCCTCCTAATACGTCAGCATAACTCCTCTTAGCAACCACCTCCATTCTATCAGCTACTTCCTCAGTCTTAGCAAGGATCTCTTTCCCAACTTGCTCCAGTTTGTCAACCAGCAGGGCTCCAGCTTCATCTATTTTCGTCTCTAGAGAACTCGTTCCCTTATGGCTTGCAATCGCTTCATTCACCTTGACTATGCAGCCAGGGCAATACCAGCAACAGCCATCAAGCTTTACGGCAGTTAGTAACTTCCTAAACGCTGCATTAGTCAGGCCTGTACCCTCCATATCCGACGTCTCCCTGCAGTGATCACAGATCAAGCTCATGGTTGTGGGGGGGGGCAGACTGTGTATAAATCTACACCTATTTCACTGGTATATACCCGTTACTTGTATAATTTGAGGCAATTGGGAAAATTTGAATATAGTAATTCAAGTAAGGATCAGAATAGTTAACTTATAATTTTTAAGTTAATTCGGCATTAGTTATTAAGAAATGTTGATGGTGAGAAATACATTGTTATTGTTTAGAGGCGCCAGACGACCTGCTGGAGGGAGGCTGTTGACGACCTGCTGGAGGGAGGCTGTTGACGACCTGCTGGAGGGAGGCTGTTGACGACCTGCTGGAGGGAGGCTGTTGACGACCTGCTGGAGGGAGGCTGTTGACGACCTGCTGGAGGGAGGCTGTTGACGACCTGCTGGAGGGAGGCTGTTGACGACCTGCTGGAGGGAGGCTGCTGACGACCTGCTGGAGGGAGGCTGTTGACGACCTGCTGGAGGGAGGCTGTTGACGACCTGCTGGAGGGAGGCTGTTGACGACCTGCTGGAGGGAGGCTGTTGACGACCTGCTGGAGGGAGGCTGTTGACGACCTGCTGGAGGGAGGCTGTTGACGACCTGCTGGAGGGACCTGCTGGAGGGAGGCTGTTGACGACCTGCTGGAGGGAGGCTGTTGTGTCCTGCTGGAGGGAGGCTGTTGTGTCATACTGTACACACTCAGTCATCGAGTCTAGCAAGAACACACTGCTTTTCCACCATAAATTTTGTTGTTAATTGCTAATGACAGTGTTCTATTTAATATAATACCACATGCACGCTCAAAGGAACTGTGCACGACATACTCCCATTCCCTTCACTCAGCGACTACTGAGCCGTGGGTTTAGGTTAGGTTAAATAAGGATAAGTTGAATGCTGACAACATTATATAACAACTCAGGGGGGCGAAGTGTTCTCCCCGCTAGGGCGTTAGGTCAGGTTACGTTAAGTTAGATTAAATAAGGATAAGTTAAATAGGGGGGGAGGGTAGGGTAGGGTAGGGTAGGTTAGGTTAGGTTAGTGCTTCCTTTGTGTACATAAGAGCAGCAAAAATATTTTTTTTCCCGCATAAATTTTGCTCTTTTTACTGGAAGATGTTGATTTTTCCAGAGAAGCTGTAAAAACTAATGTTTGACCCTGAATAATAATTTAATAATACTAAAGAAGTTTTAAAGTGACGAATAAATAGAAACATGGCACCATTTATGTGTTATATTTTAAATTATTATTGTTTCATGATTTATTTCAATTTTTAGTTGAAATTAGCATATGAAGCGTATTTGAGCACTAATCAAGCCAGCAAATATCTCCGCCGAACCGTTGTTCATTTCTCGCAACATCAGAAACCCTGCTGCTTGCTGGGCCGTCAGGCCAACAGAAAGTGCCCAATGTACTGCCACCTTTAAAGTCCTGAGATTTGCTTCGTGGCAACAAGTGAAAGGTAAATTTTCATACATAATAAAATCTTAAATATCTTACTTATACGTAATTTGTATCAGAAATCCCGGCTTTATTTTACATGTGCACTCTCAGATGCTATTAAAAAAATAAAAGGTGCTATAGGTGGAAATCAACCACCTGAATCACGATTCTTCTGTGCCATACCCGTTGCAAATTACAAATAAAGGTGCTAATTAACATTTGCTTATGTATGTTCTTAGTTAATTAATATACACACCAGGTTTGGCTTGGTTTAGAGGTTTTGTGACTGTAAAAAAAAAAGATAATTATTTACGACTTCACAGCCGCTGATTTTTATTATAGAATGAATTTAAAAACTGCAATTTCACTGTGTTTTATAGTGGACACTGTTGTAATTCACAATTGTTTGTGTTACTGTATTTGTATTCTTTATTTTGATTTTCAGGGAATTTCAGAGGAAGTTGCATCATCCACTAGTACAGGAGATGACTGCAGTTTAGGAACTAATGAAGATAGTGCAATAGTTTAATGTGTTTGAGAAGAGAAAATATTGTGTTGGATTTGGGATAATTAGAAAATAAACATTTACAGTGAACACAACTCAGGTAAAGTTTCTGCAGCTATAAACATGTCATTGTTGTTTTAAGAAAAACATTTTAAAGCACAGTATTGTATATTAAACTGACTGAGACTCTTCATTAAAATTTCAAAACCAGCCACTGGTAACTACTGTATTGCTGTACAAACAATGAAGAAGAAAAAAATACTTATTATTCCATTTAGGCAGTTGTGTTCTTGACGAGGAAATTATTTCATTTCTGTGATATGCCGGATGGTAGACCAAGTACAGTACTGTATTTACATATTGGGGGAGTTGAAACAATCATTTAGTTATGTGGGGATTTCATTCACATTTAATGAATGAAAATCACCAAGTATGGATCACCAGACTCAATTCAACTTGTCACATATCCTGGGGCAAGCAGTGGATGTTGCAAATTACAACACCTTTCAACATCAGCTGCACGGATATGGAAACATAAGTACTGTCGGTAACATCACAAGCATTGGAGGTACCACGGTAGTTCCCGTAACACACTCGGTAACGGTGCAGGATGTCGGCGCAGCAGCGGGGCACATTGCCGGAGCCTCGGGTATGGTCACAATGGGTTATGCTCACCATCCACAGTCAGCACCAGGGCAGTCGTATCATGCCGTCTTTAACAACATGACAGTCACTCACGTTACGCCACAGATGCCACCCCCACAGGTTCAGTATTTTTCCTATGAAGCCCCGAGTATGAATATGCGAACACAATCTTTGCACCCTCACCAAGCACCTCCACAGCCCACAAACCCACAGGGTCAAGTAAAGTATGGTAACTGTTCTCTTTCCCTTCAAACAGTTAACTCTACACTGCCTCTTAATTGCACTGTATCTGTACCAAGAGGACGGACGGGAGAATCGGCCACGCTCAAAGATCAAGAACTTACTCGTGAAAAAGATAACGTTAGAAAGAGAAAACCGAGGAGAGAAGGGATCAGCTCTAAGCTGTGCCGCAAGAAGCGCAGAAATCGTGGAGAGTCTTACGTCAATGCTGCAGGGAAACTTGTTGATGCTAAAAAGTTTGTGGATCAAGACTGTCAGTGTAAGAATAAATGTTTATCAAAACTTGGAACAGTGACAGATAGAGAGAATATATTTAGGGAGTTCTGGAATATTGGTGACTTTGGGCAACAGAACATTTATCTCACAGAAAATGTGATTCTCTTGCCAAATGTAGTGAAGAGACGAAGGAATCCATTACCAGATGACAAGCACCTGAAAACTGTCAGAAGACTTTACTGTGTCAGATTATCTGTAAGTATTCTTTTGTATTAGAATATATTGTGTGGTTTAGCTTGTACTGTATACTGTCTCTCCTCGACTTACGACATGTTCGACTTAGGACAACCCGGACATACGACGGCCATGGTCATATAAAATATTTTTCACATTACGTATTTTTGAGTCCCGACGTTAGTGATCGTGCTGTGTACCAACAAAATTTTTTTTGGTAATTCCCTTTAAAATGGCTGGCTAGCTTAAAAGTGAGAGTTCTCGTGGTGCTGAGAAGAAAAAGAAACACCCATTTTAAAATTTCTATGTGTTATTTTTGCCTTTTCGACTTACGACCAATTCGACTTACACCCGGTCGTCGGGAGGGAACCCCGTCATAAGTCAAGGAGAGACCGTACTGTAGTTTGGAGTTTATTCTGTACATCTCGGGTAATACAGTGGAGATTTGTTCAGCTAAAATATGTGTACAGTACTGTGCTTGTTTTTCATGCTTTGTTTGTACAGTATTGTACTGTACTGTACAAATAAAGTGAAAATATTGATAATTCAAATTATAATTTCAAGTTATTGTGAGCACCTTCAAATATTTGATGGGAGATTTCCATTTAACTCTTAGTACAGTACTGTATAGGGATGAGTTCTCTAATATTTGGTGTTGTGGTTAATGTCTCTAGGTGTGGTAATACTGCACAAAGGTATGTTAAGCCATTCAGGTCTTGCTCTACACTCTACAGTACAGTATCTGTAATTTTGATGAAATTTTGCTGATTTACTTGTGATGGAAGAACTAAATACTGTACTGTAATATCTCTGTTAGCCAGAATCCCCCAAATTCGGAACTCACTGATAGCTGGAATTGAAATTCTCTCAAAAAGTCGCTCCCATAGCTAGAATTTTCTGGAAAATTCCGGCTATGGGAATGATTTTCCGAGGGGCACCTTTTCCAGAAATTCCCCCCAAAATTTCCAATGCCAAAAAAATTCTGGGGATGGTGGCTATTTTTCCGGGTTCGAGAGATGGTGCAATGCGCAATTTCTGGAACTTCCAAGAATATTTTGCCGTTACCCGGAAAATTCCGGGGATGAGGGATTTTTTCCAGCTTTGAGAGATGAAATAATACTTCATTATGGAACTTCCGAGAACATTTTTCCTTTTCCCGGAAAATTCCGGGATGAGGGATCATTTTTCCGGCTTTGAGTGAGTCGTCTCATTACTTGGAAATCTCTCATTCCCAGAAATGTTCTGCACCATTTGTTCCGGCTAACGGAGATACAGCCATTGAAATAGATGATGTACGAATTTCTTGCAGTACAGTATATCGATGGGTAGAGGGACAGCACTTCAATAAAGTTGATTATCATAAAGAATATCATGTTTCATAATGAATTTATTTCAGAATTGTGGTAGACAGATTCGTGTCTGCAAGTCAATGTTTTTAATTCTACACGGAGTCTCTAATGGTCGACTCGATCGTGTCCTACAAGCTGTCAGTTGTGAACATCCTGAAGCACTCCAGGTAATATCTCCCTATACTCTGTGTCTCTAAAGGCTGTAAAGCTTCTGCTAAATATGTTTTGCTTTCTATAAAAATTGCAACTTTACGCAGATTTTTATTTTGAGGTTATTGTAGAGTATATCAAATACTTTATGGTGTCTGACTAACACCTCGTGTTGCCAAGTTTAACTTTACGTATTTCTAAGAAAATTCATGTTGGATACCATCTTAGTATTTTGTATTATTACAGTAATTAATGATTTTTGTGTTTACTTTTAAATCTGGAAAGTATTAGTACATAGCAACAAGGGAATTTTGTTCCTTCAAGAAGATTTGGCACAGTAGTTTCCTGTATTTAACTGATGACCTGCTACATTTCTTATACTGTATATTTATGGAGATAAATTTATTAAATGCAGCATTTTTAATCAATTATCGTCTGAGCATATGTATCGGTAATGATTTAGGTTTGAACTTACTTGCATGATTCATGGAGCATACCAGAGTTTATAATATACAGTATCAAATTAAAGTTTCAATTTGTACTCATGAATGGTCAGACTACTTGTATATGAGATCACTCAGGCCTATAGCACTGGGGTAAAAGTCAGTCTCACATATTAACCACCATCAATAGTCTGCCAGGTTTGTGCATATAACAAAGTATTCAACACTTACACAAGGATGGGAAGTTAGTTGTCAGAGTTGCTGTTTAAGTAATAAAGTACACTGCTCACCTAGTTATTTATATACAAAAGGCTTTATAAGTGGGTATGAACTGATGTCAGCTTAGAGCATCAACGAGGACTGAGAAGGTTGAGGTATGAATTCCGTCAGTAGCTAAAGGTGGGTTGGAATACATGGGTCTGACTGAGAGACAACAGTTCAACCTCACTGATCCGTGAGGCAGTTACCGGCTCAAATAATTGAAATTTTTATTTCGCTGGGTGAGGAACTGCTTGCAGCAGAAACTTTGTCTGCATAAATATTGTATCTTAACACTATTGGGTTTAGGGAGGTGCTCTCCAGCGAGACACTAGGGGGCCTGGCTGGATACTTACCTCACCACACCACACCAGAGATAATTGTTCGTAATGAGTCATAACAAGCTTGCTATTTGAGGTAAAAAGGTGGGGTTTGTTGCATTAGCATTGTAAATAAATTATATATATATATATATATATATATATATATATATATATATATATATATATATATATATATATATATATATATATATATATATATATATATATATATATATATATATATATATATACACAATCGGCCCTTAACATACGCGGGGGTTACGTAACAGAGATACCCGTGCACGTTAAAAATCCGCGTATATGTGCTGCCCCCTCCCCCTAACCCCAAAAAAAAACCTGGTCCCCCCATTTCCTTATTTACCGTATATACCTGTGTGTAGTTCAAGTTTTTAAGACCAAATAATTTGGCAAAAAATTGGGGGTCGACCTCTAAACGGGTAATAGTTTCGTTAGGTTGAAAAATATTTACCAGTAACTACCAGTAAACAATGGAAACGACGCACCACCAGCTGTGAGTGTTGGTACAGTTGCTAGGGCAGATCTCTTGCGTCATCATAGCAAGCCCAAGTAGCCAAATGCATGGTATGGTATGCACTGGACGATGTAAAACATAAAATATTCATTTTTTAAAGTTTATTTATAGATACTGTACATAAATTTTTGTTCATTACATTTGAAACATCAATCTTTGTTAATTAAATTTGAAACAAAAGAAAACTACGATACCGTATTTCTAAATACCTGGTATTTTCATTAAAATATTACATCACAAGTATATTTTACCTTAACTGTGACTGAATGAATATAGGTATTCTCAGAAATAAATATGGAAATATAATATTTTTGCTGGAATGACGTACATATTACAGTGGAAAGACGAAAACAATGACTTTCGCTTTCTTTCGTTATTCAAAAGATTTTACCGTAATCGCTTTTCGAATGGTTTTCAGTTAAAAAACTGTTGTACTCGTACTGTATTACAATAATATTCTATCCTATCATTAGCCTTATAATCCCACAACTGAAAACCATTCGAAAAGCGATTACGGTAACATCTTTTGAACGAAAGAAAGAGAAAGTCATTGCTTTCGTCACAATTTTATCCCACTTTTCACTGTAATACGTACATCATTTCAGCAAAAATATTACATTTCCATGTTCTCAGAAATAAATGGTAGTTTTGTTGAAACGTAATGTACAATATTTAATATTAAAATGCAAAAATAGCTATAAAAACAATTAATACACCCGTAATGTACTGGCTGGCATCTCCACTCGTCCCTGCTCCTGCGTCCAAGGTCACCACTCCTCCCAACTCGCTCCCTCCGCTCCCTCCTCTCCTCCACCTCCTCTGCCTCCTCCACCCCCTCTGCCTCCTCCCCGTCACAACTGCCGACAACGAACACAAATGTTTTGTGAATAACTGCACCTCCACTTCCTATGTACAGTACTGAACTGTACTGTGCTGTGCATTTTTACAAACAATAAACATGGCAAGAAAAGCTATTAAAAAAAAGAGATAAAAATTTCACTTTACTGTACAGTACCTATCCTCGGCGACAGGACGGGGGTCATCGGGCTCATCGTCACTCAATTCCATAACGGGTGGTGAAGTGGGGGCGACGGTGGATTCAGCTGCTTCCTCACTGCCGCCAGTGATTGATGGTGTTAAATCTCTCCTTCGGTGATCAAAGAACATGGTGATGGGGAGTTGTCGTCTCTTTCTTTCATTTCTTCCATGATGTTTTTGTATGGAGCGAAAACGTCATCCATCCCTCGCATGAATTTCAGGGCACGCACCATGGAGGGGTCCATACTATAGGCCAGGTTTTTCAGTGCCTCAATATTCCTGGTCATCTCCCCCAACTTCTCCAACGTTATTTCTTGGTGCTCTTCCTCATCCTCTTTCCCTTTCGCTTCCTCTTCCTTGCCTGAGTCTACTAACTCCTGTAGATCCTCCTCGGTCAGCTCAGTGTCGTGCTCTTCAATTAGCTCCCTAATCTCGTCCTCTGCCATGTCCTGGAAGCCTTCAGCAGCCACTTTCCTTGACAGTGCCAGGGTCTTTCTGAATATTTTCATTACAATCCATCAAAATCATTTTCCTTGTCATCGTCTTAAGCACCAAACAGCTCCTCCCAGTCTTCTCCTTGAACAGGGCTAGAGGGTACATGTTTTTCGAATCGTTTTCAATTAAAAAATGTTACAGCACATGTATATTTTACCTAAACTGTGCCTGAATGAATATATTCTCAGAAATAAATAGTAGTTTTGCTGAAACGTGATGTATGTCAATGTAAAATAGCATAAAATACATGACGAAAACAAGAGACTTTACCTAACCTTCCGATGTTCAAGATATGTTACTCGTTTTTTAAGTAGTTTTCGGTTAAAATACTCTTATATTAGTGATATTCTATTCATACTGTGCTTGATATAATACATTCACGGAAATGTAATATTTTTGCAACTACAATGCTGATGTCAACACAAGCGTGGTTACAGAGAGACTCACTGAGTGAGGGAGAGCTATGCTTGTGTGTGTGAGGTTGCAGAGCGGGTGGTGTCCCGTGTTCGGTGCCGTGCGTGAGATGAATGGCGCGCGATTTGAATGTACTTCAATTACTTCAATGTACAGAATATTCCTCCGGCGGGGCAATCCGCGTATTTGCAAATCCGTGTATTATAAACCCGCGTATGTTAAGTGCCGACTGTATATATATATATATATATATATATATATATATATATATATATATATATATACACAGTATATATACATACAGTAGTACCCTGATTTACGCGGTCAATTGAACCCACAGGGTACCGCGTAAAGTGAACAACAGAACATATGGGATTAATTCCAATAGAGACTGGCCCGACCCCCAAACTCCACTTTTTCCGACACAATACCTATGTTGTAGTAAAAATAACATCTAAATTTTATGATGGTATGCTCACACAATTAATATTTAAGAGAAATACAGTCGCCAGGTTAATGTCCATTCAAATAATGGACTCAAATCCCCCCCCCCTCTTCCCAGCTCACTAGCTCCTACCTCTCTGAGAAATGTTTGGGTGAAACCACTAGATTTTAACGTTTAATAATAAATAATACCTCAGACTAAAGTTAGGATAATATAATTGACATTTCTGGATTCCTTGCAGGTCAGGGAATATTTTGAATGTAAACTTCATATATTTTGCACAAAAGATAAAATATTTGCTTTGTATAAACCAAATTATTACATTAGATCTAAAATTTGTATGTCTAATGCAAAATCCATGATGTTTATATTCAAAATGATCATCATATTGTAAGAATTCCAGCAATGTAAAATATATTCTGACCGAGTAATTTGTATGAATTTTATGAGCTAACACAAATATCTTCAGGTAATAAAAAACAAAATATTCTTCACGACACTATCTGTCAATCAAAGTACCCCACCTTGCCTCCCCGCATTCTCACACTCACGCCAGCTGGGTTGGTCGGTCCCAACCCTCCCCCCCCCCACCCCCACCTTCCCTCCCTACCAGAGAAATGTTTGGGTGAAAAAACTAGATTTTAACTTTTAGTAATAAATAATACCTCAGACTAAAGTTAGGATAATATAATTGACATTTCTGGATTCCTTGCAGGTCAGGGAATATTTTGAATGTAAACTTCATATATTTTGCGCAAAAGATTAAATATTTGCTTTGTGTAAACCAAATTATTACGTTAGTTCTAAAATTTGTATGTCTAATGCAAAATCCATGATGTTTATATTCAAAATGATCATCATATTGTAAGAATTCCAGCAATGTAAATTATATTCTGGCAGGGTAATTTGTATGAATTTTATGAGCTAAATAAAAAAAAATTATATACTTCACTGCGTATATGAGTAGATGCACCACGGAAAGTGAAATTCCGGTTCTGGCAAGGTACCACGTAAATGATAAATGAGAAATCGCGGAAAGTGAAACCAGTGAAACCGTGTAAAGCGGGGTAATAATGTGTGTATATATATA